TTTGGTCAGATCCCTGCTCAGCTGCCAGTTTACTCTCATTCTACTCTTCTGGAGGAAAATGAAGACCTCTCACACCTCCCAGGTGGAGATGTGCATAGCCTCCAACATGCACATTCAGAAACCAATCCATTTGCACCCTGTGGAGGCCAGCATTCTCTAAAGTTACTTCCACATCAGGATATATCTTAGTGGAATTTCTAGGAATATTTTCAATAGAAAAACTAACAGAATTTTGAAGTGAAAAGTGAAAAACTACTAATTTCTTGTTCTTAGGTGGTCTCCATAACCTGATTTGTTCCAAATGAGTTCTTAGGTAAATATTTTTTTTAACCTGTGATGAAAATACGCACAACTAATCATGTGCCAATTCCACAATTTCTACATGTGTATCAGTGACATTGATTACATTCTTTCAGTTGTGCAGCCATTCTCACTATCCTTTTCCAAATTATTCTATCACCATTAACATAAACTCAATGTCGCCTAAGAAAAACTCCCCATTCCCCCCACCCCCACTTCTACCCCAGTATTTAATAAGTTTTGGTTTCTATATATTTCCTTCCCCAACTCATCTGTCAGTCTGTCAGTGGAATGAGGGAGATCATTGCTGATATCAGAGGATCTTGGCTGAAAGCAGAGAATATCAGGAAGCTGTTTACCTGTGCTTTCTTGGATATGCAAAGGCATTCAACTGTGTGAATCATAACAAATTATGGATAAAATTGCAAAGAATAGGAATTCTAGAACACTTATTTGTTCTCATGTGGAATCTGTACATAGACCAAGAAACAGCCATGCAAACAGAACAAGGGGAGACTGTGTGGTTTAAAATCAGGAAAGGTGTGTGTCAGGGTTGTATCCTTTCATCATACTTATTCCACCCGGATGCTGAGCAAAGAATCCGAGAAGATGGACTATATGAAGAAGAACATGGTGTCAGGATTGGAGGAAGACTCATTAACAAACTGCTACATACAGGTGGGAAACACTGGTGGCATAGTGGTTAAGAGCTATGGCTGCTAACCAACAGGTTGGCAGTCTGAACCCACCAGATGCTCCTTGGAAACCATATGGGGCATTTCTACTCAGCCCTATAGGGTCACTATGAGTCAGGTCACTATTCTTTGGAATCGACTCCATGATAAGATTTTTTTTTTTTTTTATGCAGATGACACAACCTTGCTTGCTGAAAGTGTAGAGGACTTCAAGCACTTACTGATGAAGATCACAGACTACCGACTTCCGTATGGATCACACTCAACATAAAGAAAACAAAAATCCTCACAACTGGACCAATGCCCATGGAAGCAGCAGTCAAGCAATCAAAGAACTTATTCTATTGGGCAAATCTGCTTCAAAAGACCTCTTTAAAGTGTTAACAAGCAAAGATGTCACTTTGAGGACTAAGGTGTGCCTGACCAAGCCATAGTATTTTCAATTGCCTCATATGCATGTGAAAGCTGGATAATGAATAAGGAAGACTGAAGAATTGAAGCCTTTGAATTATGGTGTTGGCAAAGAATATTGAATATTCCATGGACTACCAGAATGAACAAATCTGTCTTGGAATAAGTACTGCCAGAATGCTTCTTAGAAGCAAGGATGGCAAGACTTCCTCTCGTGTACATTGGCCATGTTATCAGGATGGACCAGTCTCTGGGGAAAGACATCATGCTTTGTAAAGTAGAGGGTCAGCAAAAAGAGGAAGACCCTTGATGAAAGGGACTTACACAGTGGCTGCAACAATGGGCTCAGACACAGCAATGATTGTGAGGATGGCACAGGACTGGGCAGTGTTTTATTCTGTTGTGCACAGTGTTGCTGTGAGTAGGAAGTGACCTGACAGCACCTAACAACAACAACACATATTTCCTTATTTCATTTAAGTGAGATCATATGGCATTTGTCCTTTTGAAACTGACTTATTTCACTCAACATAATGTTTTCAAGGCTCATCCATGTTGTGGCATGCATCATGACATCATTTCTCTTTATGGCCGAGTAATAATTCCATTTTGTCTATCCATTCATGTGGATGGACATTTCAGTTGTTTCCACATGTTGGCTGTTATGCAAGCGCTGCAATGAACATTGGTGTACAGGTTTCTGTTTGCATTCCTGCTTTCACTTCCTCTGGGTATATACTCAGGATTGGATTGCCGGGTCATATGATAGTTCCATGATCATTTGTTTATTTTTTGAGAAACCACTAAACTGTTTTTGTTTGTTTCTTAAGGACTTTATGCCATTGTGTTTTTGTTGTTAGGTGCCATCGAGTCGATTCAGACTCCTAGCGACCCCATGTGACAGAGTAGAACTGCCTCGCAGGGTTTTCTGGGCTGTAGTCTTTATGGAAGCAGATCGTCAGGTCTTTCTCCTGTGGAGCCTCTGGATATGTTCGGAACCATCAACCTTTAGGTTATAAGCTGAGGGCTTAACTGTTTGACCCTACAGTGCTCCTTTTATGCCACTGTAAAGAATAGGAAATACAATATATTACCTAAAGTTTTAGATTTTTTTTTTTTTTTTTTACTGTTATAGTTTCCTTAGGAGAGTAAGTCCTGAAAGCTCTCTTCTGGGGTTTTGCTTAATAAAAAACACTGGTAAAAAGTAAAATTTTCAAATTGCAATTCTAAACTATTAGTAGGTGTGAAATCAATGTAGCGATTAATTACAGGTTTTAGTTAAAGAATCAGAAAGGAAAGTACTAGGATCCATTACAAGTAGTGAGCACAAAAAATTTTTTTAACATATGCTAGGTCACAAAGAATTATATATTTCTTACTGCATCTTGTGGTCAAAAAAAGTTTGAGTAACTCCATTCTACATAGACAGTTATAAGTCTAATCTATCATCTACATTTTTTCTCTTCTCTTTTTTCCATGTTATACAAAAACAAGACTGTTGAGAGAGAAATGGAAATTTCATCAATAGTTGATGTTCAGGCTTTCCTATGAAGTATCCGCATCTTTGGGATACTCCTATGCCTGTGATCTGCAATCGTAATAGACCAGTGGTCTCTCTCATCTCCATCCACATGTTACAATCACCCAAAGAGCTTTTTAAGAATAATGATGCCCAAATCCAATTCCAAAAAATTTTAATCAGAATCTCTAGGTATGGAGTCAAAGGATTTGTGTTAGTTCAGAGCTGACCCGGTTCTTACTAGACCCACCCTATTTTCCATCATTATCTTTGCCTCTCCCCCTCTCTTCCAACATAGGCTTCTTTCCCATTAGATCTAAAGATTTTATTCTTCCTTCTCACAGATTTACAGTCTCAGGTAAATCACTCTCTCATTTGGACTTCCAAGACAAACACTGTCTGATAGTTTTTGTTTTCCTTCTGTTTATCTGAGTCTTTACAAAGCTGGCCTTTAGATTCCCTTTTCCCAAAGCCAGTTCACCACAAAGGTCTCCTCAAATCAGGTAGCTGGAATTCATACTCCAGTACCTGTCAGTCATTGGTAAGTGCTTTTGCAGGTAGGGGGATCTGATTGCTATGGGACTGAAAAAAAATGCCCAGGTAATTCCAGGTCCCTGAGCCATCAGGCAAAGTAGCTCCAGTAGTCTAAGTGTAGTCCTCCGCAGAAGGGTCCTTGAAAGCAAAAGGAAATCATAGGTATGAGAGTGGAAAAGGGATCCCAGGCAGATGATGTGCAGGGATGGATAATGAGGTGGATATTGCACATAGCAGGAATTCAGTCAACAGTAAGTCTGGGGAAATACAGATAGTTTGAGGATATTCTGCAGGTTTCTAAATATTTTTTGCCAATCTGAAGATATGCTTGTTTTTTTTTTCTTTCTTTCTCAGTAGTAAGAGTTAAACACCATAATGCAACTGGGATGTTACGGTTTGAATACAACAAATTTACGCTTTGCAAAGGATCAACATGAACTATACTCACTTTAATATTTTACTACTGTTATTTTTTATCAGTTTGAAAATTGGGGCTTTTGTTCTTTTTCAGGTTTATATCACCTTTCTGGTGTTCACACTTTATCAAAGATTACTGACCTGGAATCTAAATTAAAAAAGTGGAGGTCTTTTTGGTCAGAAACATAAATACTCTACATGTGTAGTCGGGATGCTCTGAGAAGTATTCCAGGAGCCCACAGGTTGTTCTTTAAGAAGTGGCCTGGCATGCCTTCCTGAGCCCACTGCGTAGAGTGTTCCTGATGGAGTGAATCATTGCCATGCTGCCACCAGAGTCAGACAAAAAAAATTATTTTTTGTTCCCCAGTTCACAAGATACTTCTCCAGATGCTGTCTGAACTTCTCCAGCCTTCAGTTCCACCACAGAGCTGGTTGCTAGACCATGGTTGTGTGTCCCACGACCGCTCTCACACAGAACCTACTCCAGTCTCTGAGGAGAGAACAAACGAGGTCCCACTTGTCCTTCAAAGTCAGAGGACTACAAAGGTGCCTCCATGTCTGCCCCTGTTCTGCTCCCTCAGGTGTTCTCACAGGTAATTTTCTCTATAAAAAGTGTTCCAGTATAAATCAACTTTACCATCAGCCGGTTCTACTATACCTACTGTTTCAACTAATCCCAAAGCAGTGAGGAGCTTTATTCTTTTTTCAAATACCCTCAGAAACATTACTTCATTTGATGTCTTCAGCAATCACGGAATGCATGATTTGGCTCATTTTACAAATGAGAAAACAGAAATCCAGGAAGGAAAAATCACTTGCAGAAAGTTAGCAAAGACAGCACTGATGAAAAACAAACAAGCAAAAAAGATCAGATGGCTGCCGCCTCCTGCCCCACAAGCTTGTGATGAAGGATCCAGTTATAATAATGTGACCTCCGGCTCTATGTATTTTGCCACCGTACTCACTCCTTGCCTGTCCTGATATTGTCGTAACCCCTAGAGTGTGAGGTGAAAAGCAGGACATCTAGTTAAAAGTCACTCATAGATTTGTGGAAGCACAGAGTCTTATGTGAGACTAGGACCTTGGTAAGAACTAAGGGTCTTCAGAGCCTGTGGCCAACTTACCAGTGGTGAGTTTGCTGATGAGGCGCTCTGCCAGTTGGCTTCCTTGGGCCAGTTGATCACAGAATCTCTGTCTCTGGTAGTTGGCAATGTTAGTAATCCTGATGAAGTCCTCAAAAGTCTTGATGGTGTTTTTCACATGCTCTGTGAAAAGGTAACAGCCACCAATCCCTTCCTGTATCTTCTGACGTAAATGGATCAGTTCTTGAGCCTGAGCCAAAATTAGGGAATTGTATTTCCTAAGATGGGAAAGAAGAGGAAAATATAATAGTGAATGAAAGATTATGACAGTTTCATCAGAGACATCTCTTAGAACACCCCCAAGGAACTCTCCAAGTTGAATTCCTGCAGAAAGAATGAGGAAACAGCCTTAGGTAGGTACACTTGTTTTTACTAACTTTGCTTAAAATTGATGCCGCTTCAGTTCCTCACTTCAGCCAAGTTGACACACAACCTTAACCATCAGTCCAGCCCTTGTCAACTTGGCACCTGCACACATCTCCTTAAACAATATACAATCTCTAAATAAAGACAATTGTAAAGTCAAACTTTCACCTAACATGATACATCTAACATGCGTACAACTGAAAACGCACTAGCCCTGTTTGCATCTTATATTTTATAAGTGAAAAAACCAAAAATATTTGATCCACACATGTAAGGAAGAAATACTCGTAACAATTACAGTCCTCGTTTCTGCAACTGGGCCCGTGGTCGTAGCTGGTATTTAGAACTACCTTCTGCTGCCACCCATTCCGTATTCCCTTTGCCCTCAGTAAGCACCTCAGCTGATCATGGTTCTTGGCCTGGTGAGATTCCTGAAGGGTTTGTACCATTAGTAGTCATACTGGAATTGGGTTGCTGTATTTTTCTTTGACTTTAATAACAGGGAATGGTAATACTAAGAGACACTCTAAGGGATTATATTCGAGACATACTCTTCTTTACCTCTGTTATGCAACATGAATCCAATTTCCCCTGGGTTGTCAAGGTCAATCACACCAGCCAATATGGTAACTCACCTGTTTGCCTGTTGCTCCAGAGGCATGAATAGGCCAAGTGGCCAGGTGGCATTCTTAAATTCCAGTTTAATGAAATCTTTGGTGTGTCTTCATGTGTGAGCATTCCTCCCTTTGGAACCAAGATGTCTAGAAACGCAGAGCATAGGCTCACGGGGACAGGGAGCAGAAATTTTGGGATTGGGTTGCTAGGGGTAATAGTGAGTGGTGCCACTCCCATATCCACCTCTTGAATCCTGGAACTGGAAACATTTCCTAAGGGAGAAACAGCACCATGTATTGGACTTTGGTTTAGAACATATACAGCCTCCTGGAGAACATTGCCTCAATCCTGCAAAGTGTGGCCACCTAGCTGGCACCGTAATTGTGTCTTTAAAAGGCCATTCCATTGTTCCATCAAGCCAGCTGCTTTAGGATAATGGGGACCATGGTAAGACCAGTGAATTCCGGGCATGGGCCCATTCCTGTACTTCATTTGCTGTGAGGTGTGTCCCTTGATGCTCTGCTGAATATCATGATGGTGGATAAGGCAGTCTGTGAATCCACTGATAATAGTTACATATGCAGGGAAGGCTAATCCACATCCAGAGTAAACGTCTATCCCAGTAAGAATGATACTCTGTGCTTTCCACGACGGAAGTGGTCCAATGTAATCAACCTGCCACCAGGTTGCTGGCTGATCACCTCCAGGAATAGTGCCATACTGGGGACTCAGGGTTGGTCTCTGCTGCTGGCATATTCAGCATTCAGCAGTGGCTGTAGCCAAGTCAGCCTTGATGAGTGGAAGTCCATGTTGCTGAGCCAATGCAAAACCTTCATCAATGCCACCATGACCACTTTGTTCATGAGCCCATTGGGCAATGACGGGAGTGGCTGGGAAAAAATGATGACTGGTTCCCACAGAACACATCATCCTATCTTCTTGATTATTAAAATCCTCCTCTCTGGAGGTCATCCTTTGGTGATCATTCACATAAGACACAAACATCTTCATTTCTTTGGCCCATTCAGAGAGGTCTATCCACATATCTCTTCCCCATACCTTCTTGTCTTCAATTTTCCGGTCATGGTCCTTCCAAGTCCCTGGCCATCCAGCCAAACCATTGGCCACAGCCCATGAATCAGTATACAATGGAACATCTAGCCATTTTTCTTCAAGGCAAAGTGAACATGGAGGTGCACTTTGCATCAGGAGGATTTCCCTTTATTACAGTTCTTCAGGGAGGTCCCAGAAAGGGGCTGCAGTGCTGAGGCTGTCCACTTTGGAGTGGTGCTTGCACTTCGCACAGAACCATTTGTAAACCACCCATGAGTTTTCTCTTCCTCAGTCAAATGGTCACAAGGAACTCTCCATGAAGCCATAGGTGCAGACTGGGAGAAGGCAGGCAATGTGATAGCAGTGGAGATGGTGGGCATTTGGGCCATTTCCTCATGCAACTTACTTATGCCGTCATTTCCTGCTCAAGCCCAATCTTGTATATATCACTTTCATTTTAATGATGTAATGTTATGTCTGACTTATGGCTTTGTGGGTCAGACAAAACCCAGTTTATGATGGTCAGCTTAGGTCTCATGGTGACTTGGTGGCCCATGGTTAAGTTTTGGTCTCTACTAAGGCCCAGTACCAAGCCAAAAGCTGTTTCTCAAAATGAAAGTATTGTTGCAGAGGATGGCAGGGCTTTGCTCCAAAATCCTAAGGATCTGCAGTGTGATTCACCAATAGAGGCCTGCCAAAGACTGCAGACTCTGTTACTGACACTTCAAGGCACCATTTGATCAGCCGACTCATATGGCCAAGAGGCTTTAGGGCGGCCTGAAATTTTGTGGAATTAATTTCCCATCCTCTAGCATGCAAAAGTTTTACCAATAAGTTCAGAATCATTAACACTTCTTCCTATTAAAGTCCATTCAGCATAATGTCATCAATGTAATGAATCAGTATGATGTCTTGTGGAAGGGAAAGGTGCTCAGGTTTCCTGCAGTCTAATTTATAACATATGGCTGCAGAGTTGATATACCCTGGAGATAGGACAATGACTGTGTATTGCTGTCCTTGCCAGCTGAAGGCAAATTGCTTCTGGTGTTCTTTCAAAACTGTAATCAAGGAAAAGGCATTGGCCAGATCAATAGCTACATACCAGGTACCAGGAGATGTATTAATTTGCTCAAGCAATGAATCCACTTCTGGAACAGCAGCTGCAATTGAAGTTTCCACCTGGGTAAGTTTACAATAATCCACTGTTGTTCTCCAAGATCCCTCTGTTTTTTGCACAGGCCAAACAGGCGAGTTGAATGGGGATGTGGTGAGAATCATCATCCCTGCATTCTTCAAATCCTCGGAGGTGGCAGTTGTCTCTCCAGTCCCTCCAGGAATGGGCTATTGCTTTCAGTTTACTATATTCCTAGGTAGGGGCAGTTCTAATGGTTTCCACTAGGTTTTTCCTGTCATAATAGCCCCTACTCTAGTTTTCAGGGATCCAATGTTGGGGTTCTACAAGTTACTGAGTAAATTTATTCCAAATATGCATTCTGGAACTGGGGAAATCACTATGGGATGGGTTTGGGGACCCACTGGATCCATTGTGTGATGAACCTGAGCTAATAATCTGGCCTCTATATGCCCCTACTCTGACTGGGTGACCACAGTGACATTTTGAGTCTCCTGAAATTAGTGTAATTTCAGAGCCAGTATCCAGTAATCCCCCAAAAATCTGACTATTTCCTTTTCCACAATGAACAGTCACTCTTGTAAAAGGCCATAGAACACTTTTTGGAAGGCTGGGAGAAAGATTAATGGTATAAATTTTTGGCAGTGTATTGGGTCCTTCCTCAAGGTGACCAGGCCTCCCCTATATTCAAGGGGTTGTAGATATGTAAATTAACTCAAGTCCAGGAATTCATTGAGGGGCTGTGACTCTCTATTCTGGTGATTCAAGTTAGACTGGGGTTCACTTGACCTAGAAATCTTCTGGATTGAACATTTACACTCATTGACCCCATCTGATGCCTGAATTTTCCCCCTTTTGCACTACAAAGAGGTCATCTATAGACCATCTTTCAAATTCTATTCTGTAGAGTTCCTAATAAATGTCAGAGGAAGTAAAGGCATAGACTATGGAGAAACAAAGGCTCCACACCTATGGCCCTGTCTTAGGTTGGGGTCTCTAAAGAAGCAAAATCAGTAAAGCATATAAATATATATATATATAGAGAGAGAGAGAGAGAGAGATTTATATCAAGGAAATGACTCATGCAGTTGTAGAAGCTGTAACATCCCAAGTCTGTGAGTCAGGATAGAGGCTTCTCATGATTCACATAGCCACAGGGGCTGGTGAACCCAAGATTGGCAGGTCAGCGAGCAGGGCTCTTGTTCACAGGCTGTGAAGATCAACAAATCCCAAGATCTGCAGACAAGACCTCACGTAAGCTGCTAGCTACAGTCCCAAGAACCAGAAGTCAGATGAACAGGAGCCAGCTGCAGGATCCAGAAAGAGCAAAAGCCCCTGAGCCCTGCCAGAACGTCCACCCACACTCAGTGCAGGCCAGATTCCAGGCTACTCACAGCAGATCTTATCATGGGGGTTATCACATATCAAATCTCAACAGGGAAGTGACCACAAAATCACATGACTGCCAAAACACTGAAAATCATGGCCCAACCAAGGTGACACACAATATATATATTTTTTTTCAACAAAGAGAAGTTTATTTCCTCACAGTATAGTAGGCTAAAAGTACAAATTCAGGGCATCAGCTCCAGGGGAAGCCTTTCTCTCTCTGTTGGCCTTCTTTTCTTCAGTGTTCCCCTGGACTAAGAGCTCCTCTGCACAGGCACCCCAGGTCTAAAGGATGCACTCAGCTCCTGGCACTGCATTCTTGGTGGTATGAAGTCCCCCAACACACAATCTTAACCATCATAGGCCCCTTGTATCAAGTATCTGTGCTTTAGTGTGTCTTACACACTTGAGTCTCTAAGATTTCATTTCAACACACGATTAAAAAAAGTTTCGAATGTCACAGTCTAGCTTACGTCTGAAACTTTCCGAGGATAGGAAATGCTGGTCCTCAGCAAGCTGATGACTCATTTTCCAGGCAACATTTGCTCAGTTATCTATATACCCAATGGTTCTACTAGTTAATACTCTATATAGTACGATACTTAGAAAAAAATCAAAGTTGGAGAGGAGAAACCTTTTTATCAGGAGAACTTGAAAATTATCTTTTGTAGTATAAAATGTTAGTTTATTAATGACAACCACCATTCTGACAAAAAACATAAGAGAAAGTATAATAATTGCAGCAAATATTTTTTGAGAGAGTCATATGTGCCAGAGATTATTCTAACCACTTTATTTGTAACCATATATTTTAATCTTCATAACCTTCTGAGGTAGTTACTGTTGGAATCTTCATTTTACAGATGAGGTAGCCAAGATAACCGAGACCCAGGAAAGTTAGGTAAATTTGCCCAACATCACAAAACTAGAAGTTAACATTGCTAGTATTCCAACTGAGGCATCTGTCTCTATTTTATTCATATATTATTTAAGGGAGAATCCTAGAGACCAAAATTCTTCCAGACACTGGACCACGGTCGAGCTCCCATAGCCCTGTGGTTGTCTAGTTTTATGCCTTCCTATAAATTTCTGTCCTTCTCCTCGCACAAATTTGGTCTTCATTCTACCAGCATGGACTGCCCCACTTCAAGCAGAAATTCACACTTTCCCATTGCCTGCCCTGCACAGATCCCTCCTTACCCAATCCTTGCAGCTGGTCTCTCCTCCTCAAACTGCAGCTCCTCTCCCAGCACGGATTCAGTGAGGGCCTTGTATTCTTCACATTCTGAGAACAGACAGACACACCTGCCTCAGTGGAAAGCTGGAGCCAATGATGATCACTATCTTCAAGGGAGGAGGCAGGGCTCATCCCAAGGACACAAATAACCCCAGTTCCAGGATTTATGCTGGATTTCCACGTCTTTATTTCTCAGTCTCCCAGTAGCAAAACATTTGATCACTCCCATTTTAGAGACAAGTAAAGAGAAGTTCAAGGAACCCTGGTGGCACAATAGTTAACAGTTCGACTGCTAAACGAAAGGTGGGCCATTCCAAACCTCCCGACAACTCCTTGGGAGAAAGATGTGGCAATCTGTTTCTGTAAAGATTATAGCCTAGGAAACCCTATGGGGCAGTTCTAATCTATCACCTGGGGTCGCTATGAGTCAGAATCGACTCAAAGGTAATTGTCTTTTTTCTTTTTTTTAAATAAAAGCTCAGAAGAAGGTAAGGTAAGTTGTTCAAGATGATTCAATCGGTATTTTTCAGAGTCAGAATTCATATCCCCTGAGTTCTGACTCTGATTCAGGGGCCCCTTTACCAAGTCTTGTGACCTGTTAAGTAATATACTCACCTGTGGCTTGAATTAGCTATTTCCTGTAAGCTTGGGAAGGCCCCAAGGAGTATAGCACTGATGGTTTTCTCATTTCAATAGTTTCAATAATCCCCTAATATTTCAAAAATTTAAAAGTTTATCTGGATAAAACTGTGTAAAAATGCAACAGGAAAAAAATACCTGAAAGACTTATCTTCAAATGCTAACAAGTATTAAGTTAGAACTGGTAGGAGGGGGTGTTTCCCTTGTGCCAGGCATTGCTCTAGCAGATTTTCAAGAATTAACTCATATAATTGTGACTGCTACCTGAAGCTGTGGGCCCTACTCTTATTACCATTATAAATGAAGAAACTGAGGGACAGAGAAGATAACTTAGATTTGAGCCCAGGAAATTTAGCCTCAAGGTACATGTTCCTGATTACTGCACCGTATTACATCTACCCTAAGATGTTACGTGATATTTTCTTCTGTAGCTTCAAAAATTTTGTCCTACATTTTTATCAGGGTCATAATGAATAATGTGAAGAAAAAAACAAAAAACAAAAAACAAAAAACCTTAGTTTTCCCATCTCCTAAAGCTTATCATCTCACTTCATTTTTACTTTTTGTCTATGACAGTAAGTTGACTAACAAATTTTATCCCCCATTGATTTGTTGAAAAATAATCGTATAAATTTCAAAGTCAACAACTTCAATGTCATCAAGAATCCTTCTCTAATATTCCTGACCCTCTTGTTCCCCTATTCCCACATTCTCTTTAGTCACTATATCTCTACCCCTGTCCCTCATTATTAACAGGTTTGGGGTTGCCAGTGGATTTCCAACTGTGAAAGCTGACTGTGGGGAGGGAAGGGCCAGCCTCTACACCAGCCTGCTGTGACTGGTGATCTCCTCCACTTGGCCTTCTTCTCATTTTGGCCATGTGTCCCACAGCCCAGATGCTGCAGGTCCACCTGGACTTGCTTGTATTCTGCAAGGTTCATATTCAGGGAGAGATAGAAAGAATATTATAGATCTCTGAGTTTCCTGGAAATACTCTCATCAGAGTATGAGGACTGGCTTCCTTGAACTTCTGTGGGAAAAGAATCTTGCTTCAGGCATATGAACTTCCCTCTGTGTTTGCTATTAATGTTCTCATCTCTAGATACCCAAGGCTAGGTTGGGAATAGACAGTGTTATGTTCCTTTGAGGCAGGTATAGTGTACTAGTACCTTTTTTTCCCCAGTGCAGTTGACAAAATGCTTTTTTGTAAAAGTTTGAATTGAATTCTGAGATATTTAGGTCAACAGTGATGTTATATGTTTGTAGAATCTGAAACAGTTTCCTGAGCAAGAAAAGGCAGTTTTGTGCCTGAACTAGGATTCTGCCCTCTGTTCCTCACTATACTCTCACTGAAAACTTGGGAAAATTGCTTTACCCCTTTATGCCTTAGTTTTTTCATCCTTTGCAAATTAAGAATAAAGTATCCATTTCTACCTTTCTAGGAGTATGGTCAGGATAAAATTTATTTTGATGAAGGAGAGAGGAGAGCGTTAAGTTTCTGGAGAGTGTTTAGTTTCTCAGAGAGCAGACAGACAATTATTCATCACTTTGGTGACCTTGACCCTGTAGGACTTACTGTATTTCTGCAGCTGGTTGGCCAGGGTGTAGGCAGTAGCTTCAGATATAAGGAATTTCTCTTTGAGGTCTCTGAACTGCTGTTTGCTTTGTGCTAGCTGGGAGCACAACTCCTGGTTAATTTCTAGGATATTCCTTTCTGTCCTTGGCCTAGAGCAGGTGGTGAGAGATAATTCCATGCTGAAGCTTATGGTGGAAGGAGTGGAGGCAGAGCCTGAAGAGAAGAAAAACAGACAAATAATAAATTAAAGACCAATTAATGGATTATGCTGATGGTTGCACATCTTGATGAATTTACTAAAAATCATTGAATTGTACAGCTAAAATGGGTAAATTTTGTAGTATAAAATTATATCCCAAGAAAGTTTTTTTTAAGTGAAAAAAGTGATTTAAACCAGTCTAAAGGATGCGGATGTGATTCATAACTTACTTTTGGGATAAACTTTGTCAGCATCACACGACACTTGAGAGTCCTGAACCACCAAAACAAGGAGGAAGGTTCAGAGCTCAGAGCCCAAGGCACTGCCTCTAGCTCAGGCTCCAACAGGAGTGCCAGAAGGAGGAGCCAGAGCACCAGGTAACTGCCTGGAGTCGCAATAACAGAATTGGAAGGTGGGAGGTGTCGTGGAATCTTGGGAGCCCCTGCCTTCCAGTTGCCTGGGCCATACTGATACACAAGGCTGCTTGGTCTCCTCTGAAGGTCACACCGATGGGGACAACCCCTCAGCACCACTCTCGGTATATGTGTACACTATTGCTGATACAAAAAACCTACTCTTTCTAAAATTCAAGGATATTTTTCATTATTTTTGCAAGTGCATAGAAAACATCCAGGATTCCATATTTCCACCAAATTCCTTCATTTTCTTAAAGAATGTCATGAAGTCACTTCTTCTTAATGGAAAACTTAAAAACTACAGAGAATCGTGGTGTTCTTCTTTGGTTCTTCTCCAGTTGTTTTTTTTCCCCTACACCATTTAATATTATAAGAACAAATTTTGGGAATAAACTATAAGATTTTTGCACTGACTATCTTGTGTTCTTCTTGCTGCAAACCAATGTTATGTTGGCTTCTTTTTCTTCTGGGTAGCACGCTGGCTTTTCATGAAACTTAAAGTCAAGTTTCACATCCCTACCTCCTAATTCCACCCTCCTCTAGTGTGTGAGTTATTTTGTTTTCTAATGTCCATATACATATTTTGCACTTTTCACTTAAGAATTTCATTCTAGCTCCATAGGGTCTCTTTCCAACTTGTCAAAGTCATTGAAATATCTCATGCTAGTTGGTTATTACCCAATTAGCCTCATGATTCCCTGGACCCCTAAGATTTATGTATATCTCCTTGAATACATGTAGTATCCACTTATTTGGGGATGACTAGTAAACCGATGCTATTCTTTATGTTCAGGAGAAGTTTCTATGGGACACTGACTCCTGGATCTGTTTGGGTTGACCAAAGTCACTGACCTGTGGTTATCCTGTAGTTGTGTTTTCTCCCTGTATAGACTTGTGGGGACCCATCTCAATGGCGTTAGCCCTCACTACCACAGTACAACAGGGCAAACATCTGAAGTTTAACTTCAACTGCTTCAGTTGTGAACTGGCAGACTTGTGACCCTCAAAACAGCCTTGCCCCTTAAGTAGGCACTTTTATTGATCTGCAGCAGGGGCTTGAGGACTGGTGGTATCACCTAAAGCTACTAGTCACCTGCTACAGGAGTCCAAGAAAAAGTGGTGCCCTCGAATCTTTACAGCCAACAGAGTGGGGTGCTCATAGTCCGGCTGCAAAACTCACCTACCTAGTCACCCTAAAGAATAGGGACAAGGACTTCCGGCAAGATGGCGCTCTAGGCAGAAACACCATGCCGTCCCTCCACAACAAAGATCCGAAAAACTAAGCCAAACAGAGAATCAACAATCCTGAAACCCTAGAACATCAAATGAA